CAGACAATGGTGTAGGGGAAGCAACTCCTATTTAGTTGTACACATTCGAGATACAGGACAGACTAGGTATTATACAAGGCAGTCAGGAGCAATTGAGTTAAAAACATCAACAGAATCTGTACGAGTAACTTTTTCTAGAAAAAAATAATTGAGAAATAAACATGTCATCTATAAATGGTGTAATTTGAATACTTTTTAACATAAGTTGGGGGTACTTAAGATGTGACTTATAATTTCTATGAATGTCCATTGACCCCATTGTAAAGAACATTTGCTATGGTAAAAGATAACTGGAGCTTTTGGAGAAACCGTGAGTAAATCAGTAGGATATCTAAGATGGAAATGTGTTTCGGACATGATGATACTAATTATAAGGTATTGATATAAAGTGAACTAAATAAATTTATTTTATATTCTAGACAACAGAAGAAAACCTGAAGAAAGAGATTAAAAATTCAGGAAACACTGTTCTGGTGAGTAAAATGTAATCTGTTTTAAAACTCTATTTGTGTATTTGCATTCATTCTTTCTTGAAAGATGAGTTTTAACCAATGAATATTGTTGTAATGTATTTTCTGAATTAAGGTTTGATCATCATAATTTGTTTTGCTTGTTTGACCACACAGGTATACAACGATGTATCAGAATCACCTGTTCAGAAAGAGTTCTCTAGCATACTGACCCCCTCAGAGCTTGCTGACCAACAGAAGCTGCAGACCCTGGACATGGTCTACCACCGGATACCACTGCAGTATGACACAGCCCTGGAGGAGAAGGTACTAATACATTTAAAAAAAACTTTCATATTGTCTCATGATTAACAAATGCATACATGTATAAATAAAGCATGAATGTTTTATGAAAGGGGTTGCAGTTCACATTCCCATTTATGGATATTGTAGTTATTAATATGGTATGCAAACTCTGGAGAAAAAAAATCTCTACCAACATATGTTTTGATTTAGTTTGTTTTTCTCATTCATCTAAGCTGCATGAGTATATAATAACGGATATGAGAAGTAAATCACGCATGTAAAAGCTGAATATGTAGTCATGAAAACTGCTTCCTTTGTTGTGTAGGACTTTGATGACCTGATGTCCGTTGTGTGTGAGTATGGCTATGACTGTGATCCAAGTGCCAACACCGCCTTTGTGTTCTTCTGTCGGACTGGCAAAAGTCGTACTACCACTGCCATGGCAATAGCTGGACTTATCTTCTGTCACATCAGGGTAAGGTTACTTCATTTCTCCTCTGAAGGTCACA